TTATATATAATATGAGAAAGAAATTTTTACTGGATATTAAAACCCCAACCACTTTCACAGTATTTTTACCTCAAATCTTAATATACTGGTATTTTAGGAAATTCTCTTAATTATTAAATTTAGTGTGGTTAATTAGTTAATGCATATAATTATTAAATTTAGTCTGATTAATTAATTAATACATGAAACTCACGAACTTAAAATTTATCTTAAACTAAGTTTTATGGTTGTATCAAAAAAAAAATATTAACCCAATAAACTTGATTAACCTAATTGATTTTTTAATGACATGATTAATTTAATTGAACTTGTATCAACTAACTCATCATTTTAATAAAACTAATCAACTTGATGGCCAACCTGTTAATCTAATAATTAAGTGATCCAAAAAAAATTTTGCGTCAACAACCCTAACTAGGTCTCAATACTATTTCTTTCAAGTCAGTTGCTATAATTCTTATTGAACAATATGTTAAGAATATGTTTATTTTTGTATTTTAAAAATAATTTAAAAAAAATTAAAAAATATTATATTTTATTTCAAATAATTTCTTTTAAAAAATTATATTATTTTACTTCAAATAATTTCTTTTAAAAAATTATATTATTTTGACATACTGATATTAAAAATAATATTTTAAAAAATAAATAGAAATACAATTTAAAACGTGTCGTATAAGTATTTATAACTTAAGGTCTTATTTGTTTAGTAAAAAATAATTTTCTAAAAATTGCTTTTTAAAGTTTTTTGTATTTATTTATTATTAGAAACATCAATCAATAAAAAACATTTTCTAGTCAAATAAAAATATTTTTTTTTATTTTGAGCTAAGACATTTTCTAAAAATTATAAAAAAATTAGAAATATCATATTATTTTTTTATTATAAAAAATTTAATCCTCAAACTTTTTATTACTATCTATTTTATTTTAACTCTTTTTTTTTTAATTTCACCTCTTAAAACTTGATTTAATTTGAATTTTATATTAACTTTGATCCTTATTTTTATGATTGTTATTTTTCTTTTCTCTTATTATTATTTTAATTAAAAAAATTTATATATCAAATTTTATCCTCGTTTTTTTTATTGTTACTTGTTTTATTTGAAATAATTTATAAAATTATTATTATTACTACTATTATTTTTATTTTTTTATTTTTTATTTTTTTATTTTTTATTTATTTTCTCTATTATTTTGATTATTATTTATTTTATATGATATAATTTATAAAATTAATTTTTTTAATTTTATTTTCTTTCAACTTTTTAATTTGTAAGATTTGTTTCTTATTGTTTTAATAAACTTAAAAAATATTAATAAATTATTTTTCAACTTATTTTTCATGACGTAACCAAATAATATAAAGTATTTTTTAATTTATTTTTCAATATTACCAAATATTAAAAAATAATCATCAAAAATTTATTTACTTTTAAAAAATTATTTTAAAAAAAACACTAAATTTTCTGCCTACAAAAAGTCTAGGTTTCCAAACATGTTATGAGAATTTCCCGTTGTCAATCAGCAATCTCAACTCAAGTCCTTTCCGAGAAGGCCATGCGCCTTTCAAAAGTGAGTGGGGAGCGAGGTGGTGACGGTTATCTTGGCGGGTTTTGGACTATCATAGTTGACTTGGCGAGCAATGATTGGCCCTTAAGAAAACAGATAGCTACCCCACCTGAATTTGTTTAACTTTCGCACCACCCAAAAGCGGTTGGATCGTCGTCATGTACAAGTAGACAATGATACTGATGGCGGCGGTGGCGGTGGTGGCGGTGGCGGTGGCTGTGGCCGATCTTCAAATCAAGTTTTTAACCCCTTCTTTTTTAAGAGTTCTATTTTATTCTTCTTGCTTCTTTTTTTTTTATCATCGTTAGCGTTGTCTTTTGTATTGTTCTTTTAAACATTTAAGAGTTTTAAGAGTTGAAATGTTTGTTTATGTGCGGTAACATGTTTTTAAATTGTTATTTAAATTATTTTTTATTTAAAATGATTTTGATATTGAAAAATTTTAAAAAGATAATAATTTTTTTATTTTAAATTGTTTTTTAAAATCAAAAAAATATTTTAAAAAGTATTTTGTATAATAATATCAAATACACCTAATTTAGTTAAAAATAAATTTACTCCTCAGCTTATCTTTTTAGGGTGTGGTTTGAATTTGGAAAGATAATAATCATTTATCATAAAATGAACCTATAAAAATGATATAAATTTAAAAAAAAATATGTGTGTATCCTAAATTATTAATATTTGTTTTTCCTTTGTTGTAAATCAGGTGTATATACTTGATTTAGGCCCAAGTTTAATTACGTAATTTTATGTATTTATCCTCCTCCTTCTTTTCTTTCCTTCATAGATCTTATAAAATTAATATACAATAAATGGATTGGATCGATAATGATATCTCACAGCACAAGGCTTAGGAAGCGCAGCGTAGGAAGGGACACCATTGTGCTAGTTCAAAAAAGCTTAGTTTTTTTATGATTGAATTTGATTTAGAACTAATTTTTGTATTTTAATAATGGTTATTTATCATAGTATTTTTCATTTAAAATTTCATCTAAATAATTTTTTTTATTTTTTAAATTTATTTTTGACATTATTATATTAAAACGATATGAAAATATAAATAAAAAAAAACTAATTTGTAGCAAATAAAAATATTCAAATAAAATACTACTACATTTGTTGTATCGTGCTACACGAAATTGCCTGCTGAAATAATTTTTTGTAATACACATGTTAAAAATAATAAAAATCATAAACTTTGCATGATATAGCAATTGATAAATATATTGCTAATGCTAATTAAGGATGAAAGTTGAAGAATGCATGAGATTTTAACCTTCGGAGACCCCAATTGTTGTCTTGGCAAGGGACACTTCAATTTAGTACAGTTCATATATCAAGTTGAGAGCAACGTATTTCAATGGCGAATGCCAGATTCTCACGATCAAAATGTTTGTATTTCCCAAAAATAGGAATTTTAATTCAATTATAACCATCGTACGTACACCACATGATTCCACAACGCTTATGCTCTGCATGTATCCCAGATCATTTTAGATTTCCAAGCGAGAGATACTACACGTTCAAGTTAAAATTATCAAGAACAGAAAGAGCTAGCGCATTTACAAGGACTTTCTTGAATCAGAGTATTTTTTCCATATGAAATTCACCAAGTTTTTCTATCACTTCACATAGAAGTAAATCAAGGATGTGCTGCCAAACTCCACAGAGATCTCTTCAAAACATTCAGAATGGAATGAGTTCTTCCTTTGCCACCTTGACTCTTTAGCTTCTTCTTCTTCCATCAACCTGCAGAGCTTCCTTGCAACTTCTTTGTAGTGTTCCTTACCGTGATTATTTCATGTTCAAGAGTCCTTTTTATTGTTTTCCTTAGGCTCATCTTCAACATTGTTGAGTATGAGATCAATAAAATTAGGTGAAGATTTCTTCTTCGAGAACCTCTAAGTCCATTTGCTATGTATCACCTGATTGAAATCAAGTAAGAAAAGAAAATGGCAACGTTAAGAACATCGAATTAATTTAAAGGGTTCATAATAAAGACAAAATCCATAAATTAAGAATAATTAATGCTTAATTAGAAACTAACTAGGTCAAGGTATATTGCATCATGAGCCAAAAGTTCACTGAGACCAAGGAGAGAAATCTTGCTTGAGTGTTCTGAGAAAAGAACGTAGACATCATTATCTTCTTGATTTATTAACTCCGGTGTTCTCACTGGATGATGTTGTGCTTGTGCTCAATCCAAATAAAGCAAGTAATCCTTGAAATTCACTAACCTTCTCCTATTGACTTAATCGTGAGTGATTCTTCCTTTGGGACCTAGTTGGATCTAGGAACGAATATGATCTCATTAACCTCGTTGTCACACTTGGAGCAGTACTGGCCGGAGCTTCAACAATAGCATTGCCAATCTCTGGCCTTTTTTAAATGATTGAAAAACTCTACAGTAATGGAATTTTTATGGTATGATCTGATGATGGGTGTGTTTGGTGACTGCCCTTGCACCGAAGAAGCCACATTATGCCTGAAAAAACCGTAGAAGCCTCCTAACAACCAACAGAAGAGAGGGGGAGTTGTTCACCAATTCAACCACCCTCTGTGCTTCCTTCCAAGAAAAGGCCTCTTATTTCCAAGCCCTTCTTATGTCTTTCGTCCCTAAATTTAACATATATTTATGCCATTTATGAATGAATCTCAGCCTATCACCTAAACCCACCTTTAGGAGCTTAGCAAAGTGCTCCTTGATGGCCCTGGCTCGGCACGCGCTACTCGTTATATAGCCTCCAAGCCCCACCCCAGCTGTGTAGGAAATCAACATTCAACAGATATCGCACTTCCAGATTTCAAAAATAAACCATCTCTCTTGCTTCCTGCTCTTACAGCATTGTGATCATACAGTGTGCCACGAAAATAAAACCTCAACTCAATGTCTGCTGCTAAACCAGGACAATAACAGCAGCTTATCCAGCTCGCTGCTTTTGCCTTCATGCTTGTAATCCTCGTTCATAAATCAAACAAACATTGTGAACTCCATGAAAGAATGCCAAGGTGTGAATTTGACTTCAAATGGATTAGCAACGTTCCACTTCATACGAGGAATCACAAGGCAATCACAGATATGGCAATGCCAGCCTATTCAAGTAGAGACCTGAAAATCATGCATCTTAAAGAATTTGTGGTACATTAATTGAAACCTTCTTTCCGTGTCCACTGATGGCGATGATAAGAAGAAAAAAAAAAAAAACTGAGAGATGGTTAGCAGAATAACAAGGTAACAGAAGCGTAGACAACAAAGACATGGAAAGGAACATGATCTTCAATTATTATGAACTGAAACTTATGCATCATAAAGAAATTGTGTTGGTACATTAATAGAAACCCTTCTTTCCATGTCCAATGATGCCGAGAAAAAAAAAAAACTGAGATGATTAGCAGAATAACAAGGCAACAGAAGCATAGACACATGGAAAGGAACATGAACTTCAATTATTATGAACTGATTCTGTACATATACAACTAACAAAAACTATAGCCTAATATCCTTTAAAACAATTAAATACCCCCCCTACCCCCCATATACTCACCAACTTAAATTCTCACATACAAAAAAGAAAGGACTTTTATCACTCATCGTCTGCCTACTGACATGAAATCTTCCCACCACAAACCAAAGACAAAACCCCCGATTTGGAAAATTTGCATTTGATTGGACCCTTCTCGATTTTCACAAGCACAGACCTTTGTCTCTGCATCTTGACCTTCATGGTGATACAACTAGAAGCTTCTTATTGTGTCCACTCGGTCAATAACATCCAAGGCCTTGATCCAGTCTACATCAAAGTTGATGACAGGAACAGAAGATGGCCTTCTAATGGGAAACGGATCTTTTCTAGTTTCACCCATTGGCGAGTGGCTACTACTTTTACTCAGCCGATGATGCTTGCTTAACCTGGTTTTAGCAGTATCAAATTCCTGACTCTTGCTTATCCCAGGTGTCTTTTTCCTCTTACTCACATCCCGAAGCATCTCTTGGTCTTCAATTGTCAATGTGGGGGATGGGGAGCTTGGCTTTTGTGTAGACAACTGAATTGTTTTCTCATTTGGGGACCGAATCGGAGATTTAACAGGAGATCTGGGACCATTGCCAGCTCTTACTTGGCTGACAAGATGGTGAAGCCAAACCACCAATTCAAGAATATAAGTTTCAGTCTTCTCCTTGTCTGCATGGTGTAGTGTCTCTATCCTGAGCAAGTCGGTCTGTCCAGCAGGTTTACGATTCACCTCAGACCTGAAGAATTTGTCATAAGGAACTCAACACTGGTGATATAATAAGAAAGAGAACGAGCAGATTTGGAACTCCCCCTGTATTCGCCCATTCTCCAACCCAACCAAATCCATGATGAGCTCTGGTTAAGTGCATGCAAAATTGTAAGCACAAGGATAAATAATTGGAAACAAACCAGGAGGAGAAGAAATACAAGTTCAATACATTAGTATGTTAACAAAACCACAAGAAGTTTTAGCTCCTGCTTTAAAATCTTCTGTTCACAAGGACCATACAGTTGGGGCACATTGATTAGTGGATGGGATGATAGTGGATGTGACAAGGTTGTAGTTGCGGAGGTAGAACAAAATTTGGGTATGGGACAAGAGAAAAGCTGCTTTTCATCCTGTCCCGTGCAAATCAAACAGCAATACAAGTCAAGTTGTCCTGCCATGTCTTGTCCAGTCCCATGTACCAAACACTATCTAACTCCACTAGAGTAATAATTTGTTAGATTACGATTACTACTAGTATTAGTGGATAAAAGGATGCGCATGCCTCTGAACATTAAATGGAATTGAGCAGAACGTAAGATGAGGTATCAGAAGGTACAGCCCAGCCAAGGTAGAGAAATTTAGACTGAGCTGGCATCTTACTTGGTTGTGTTAGTAGCAATAGGAACAAGCCACTGCAAAGTTTTCTCCATTTCAGCTTTGATTTGTGAGACTGTAAGCTGCAAGAACATTATTTGAAATATTAATTATATCAATGCATTGACAAGAAAATGGCTAGAAGTGAAATCTCAATGAGCAAGTCAGTCCCAAGGCAACATCGAATGATACCTCTTCCTTAACTTGAAATGACAATAATTTAGAGCGCAAAGCAGATTTTATATTTGGTGGTAGCCCCTGGTACAAAGCATCCCTTGTATTTGGAGGCACAGAACTTGATCGGGACACCTGATCACGTTAAGGCATTAGCTCAGACAAACAAAAAAGCTATGAAGAAGAAAAACAAGAAGCAACAATTAGATAAGAGCTTCAGGACTGCAACCCTGGTTAAGGCAACATTGAAAAACTCAGAAGCTGACATTCGAGATACAGAACCAAAATCCTTAATAGCAAAGATAAAAGGGTATCAAGTCTGGTGAAATCATAAACTCACAAGAGTATCAATTTGGGTGATAATATTTGCATAATGCAATGCAAGACCAGCAGGCCCCAACTTTTTATGGTTCGAAGAACTTTTTACTGGTCTATCGCTATCTGCAAGTGAAAACATCAGTTAATGAAACCACAATAGCCAGATAAATTTCATATCACTTCATTGTCCCAAGCAAGGAAACAAAGAGAAGAAAGTATATATGTGTGTGCATATCTATATATATATATTAAAAAAAAATGGCCATTAACAAGAAATCCTAAACCCTGTTTGGATTGCTTACCAGCACTGCCAAAGGCTTCATGAATCTCCAAATGCAAGAAATGGACAATATCTACCAACTTCTCCATCACCTACGTAAACAGGATGTTAGATCTATGTTGCAATAACACTAAGAACAGTTCCAAAGAAAAAGAACAAAAAGATTTATTGTGTAGCTATCACTTGACAGATACAGAATATGCATGGTCCATCCAACATTAGAAGTGCACTGCTGCATGCTTGTGGTAGGATCATAAACACAATGATCAACAAGGGTGAATCATCGATGTATGAAACACTACAATAAGGTCGTATTTGTCTCCAATATGCCCCTAGAACTGGCACCACCAACCACCTCAATGCATTACTGCTTCATACCTCTTCCAAAATCTTAGACCAAAGCGACTTCTTCTTCAAGCTTTTCACATGCTTCCTTTGGCTCTTTAAGTCTGCCCTCAAAATAGCAAGACTGTCCCCTACAAATGAATTAAACGCAATGAGACAGCATCACTTTAGAATGTTAATTTTGATAAAAATGAGGGAAATGTGAAAGAAACAAACATTCCTGAGGGCAAAGATTAAAAAAAATAATAAGAATTAAAGGGGAAGTTCAAAAAATTAAGGGGTGCAATTGATGCATTTTTATTTCGACCTATGTGAAAAGATAAAATACACACACACACACACACACACACACACACACAGATATATATATAACGACTAAAGAGGGGAGTTCAAAAATTTATGGGCTTCTCCATAACATAACTTCACCACAAAGGGGAAACAAGGAGCAAGCTCAAGCATAGAAGGCTTGCACTCCTTTCTCTAAAATATTTTATTTTGGTCAATATTAAGGGCCAATCAAAAGAGAATCACAAGCAAAATGAGACTTAAACTGCAATTCACCTCTTTGAGCAGCATTTGTTTTATCATCTTCCTGAAGCTTACGCCGGTAATCTTGTTCAAATCTGTCCAAGGCATGCATTTCATGATACAGTTCCTGCAACCCAAAGGAAAAATCTCTTCATGATGAAATTTACAAGATAAGCTTAAGAGAAGTACTAAGCATGAAATTGTGTGGATGGATATGATAATTAGCTGAAATGAAACTGCAGGAATAAATTTCTTATCAATGCTTATAGATATGGATGTACCACGTCTCATGCAAGATTAAAAATTCGCAGCATATGAAGGAGAAACAAATCAATAGCATAAAACACAAATAATGCACTAGCCACACATAAAGCAGACTCTAGATGCCCATAGATGACTTCAATACAACATATTTGGACCGTTGATAAAAAGTTACTCAGTTATGTTCAAGTCACAGCATTTGAAAAGTTATTGTATTTTGATCTGAAATTTTTGTCATTAGATGATCAAGGAGAACAGTTTAAAATTAAGTTCATAACATCTTTCATTTTTCAAGAGCATTTTGCTCAATGAACACGTTGTGAGTGAAGATTTTGTTCTTGGCTGCGAATCATTGTAGAGTTTAGAACATCTTAGGATGTTGCAAAGAGTTTGCTTTTTGGTGTTTTTCTCCTTCTCCCCACATTAAAATCACGGCCAAAAGGAAAAGAGGGAAATACAATAGAACTGAAAAAACTGAAAGTCACACTCCCTTTCAAATTAGATTGGGTGGTACATCCAAATCCTTCTTTTGCAGACAACACTTCCACCAGCACAAAGAAAGAAAGAACATTGTTAAATGTTTTCTAATCATCACACCTAGATATGCAATGTCTGCTGAAACTTAGGGGCAGTTATATACTATAGTATTGTTAAATACTCACTGCTGTATACTGAACCAAATTCATCAATTGTCGCATAACTGTCTCTGCTTCATCCTTCAATTGCATTTCAGGTGTCAATTCTGAACCCAACCTAAAAAATTCATATAGAATGACTGAATTATAAGAACCTTATTTCAAATATTCTTAACAATAATCAATATAAAACAGATGCAATTAGCATTACTTTTCAAGATATCGGTCCAAGTTGTGCCACTGAGGATCTTTGCAACGGTTCCCAAAACGCACAACTTCTCCAGAAAAAACTTTCAGTTCTTCTCTGTCATAATTGTGTAGCGAAATGATTAATATTTCTTCTACAAGTTTTCTAGGCAATGCTATAAGATCACTGTAATAAAATGTATGAAAATCTGTTTCAAATTAAAATAGAAATTTTGGTAATATCAACCTCTTATCAGTTGCTGCTAGCCTCAAGAGTTCATCCATATCTCTAGATATTAGATTTTGCACCCCCTCTGAGGGGAGCACAACTTCTTTTAAATGTCTAATGTTCTCTTCTGAAAGGGATTGCATTAGATTAGCACCCTTAACAATTGTGTTTGCAACTTCAAAAGCTAAAATTGAGATCTTATCCCCTTTTGTCGTCAGCCCTGAGGTAAAACCACTGCTAGGATTTAAATTGGTCATGCTACTACCAAGTGTGTCCAATACATTGTATGCCTTCCCAAGCCCAGCAGTACCAGCTCTGCCTAACAGTGAGCTCACTTCTGAGACCTGCAACACCAAAATAACCAGCTTTTTAATTGTGCAAAATTCTGATACACAATTCCACAAAGCAACTTACAACATCTATCTATTATCAATATATGTGTGCGCGCGCGCACGTGTGAAAGATCCTACACTGAAGTATTGCAGTGTGGAAAATGAATTAGCTCCACGAGCATTGCCAAGTATATGATCATACCATGCATGAATTTGATAATTATACTATAAGATGCAGTGTATTTGGAGATAGAGGATTAGTGAGCATTTAATAACATATGATGAAAAAATCATTTCCTAGAACAAGAAAATGCATCCAATTTCTACTTACAAATAACACACACTGACTCTTAAAAGAAGAAGAAGAAGAAGAAGAATCTAGTTTTTTATTAGATGCACATTAAAAGTTTTTGTTTTTCAATGATTGATTACTTAAATATTTTAGCTGCCATGCTCCATTTGGTTGATGAGCCATGCACATATAGGACCATGATTTCTATTTTTTTTTTCTTCTTTTTTTTTTCCTTTTTTATTGCTTTGTAATCCAAAATGGCTTCAATGCTTCTTGAAACTTTCACCTTCTTTCAGAAGTACTAAACCACACACATGCTTCAATTATTTTTCTTTTCAACTCCTATATGCTTATATAAGAGTGAAATGTTTAAACCATAGCATTATGGACACTTTCACTATATTGTTATTTTATTTACTAATGTGGTGATACACAGAAGGATGTTATGTTATTCATGTAATCAAATAAGTAGAACTTTAATAATCATTAATTCCCGTTATTATATAGATGCTTTTTATCAAGGAAGTGACATTTTTTGAATAAATTTAAAAGTACTCACATTTGTGCTTTAGAAAATATACACATCATAATATGTTAGAACTAATGTCTACATGGCTCTAAAGCAAATAACTGAAATGATCCATGTCAATGTTATGAGGCATTCAAAGAAGTAGCATTTTTCTCGATTCAATCAAAACTATGAACTCTGGAAAGCATCGTTTTTAATAATTTTCACCAGAGTCTGTAAATTTACAGTGTGAACACATGGGTAACTAGTGCATAAACAGCAAACAACTACATGAAACGTGCAATTGCCTAACTAAAAAAAATCTAGTTTAGAGCACTAACAAATCTTTCAGATGACACAAACAAAACACGTTTTCTTTCTTCTCTTATATTCCTTATTGTCCTCCTACTCGAATTATCTAGACGTGTCAAGCTTAGCTGCATGTAAACAGAGAACTCCAATTCCAAGCAAAACCTAAATGTTTAAATAATTATGTAACTTTGTTGTTTGTTACCTTTTTGTTCCTGAAATCAACTTTACCAAGTAATTGATTTATAAAATGCCTTCATTTCTCAAATACATTCCAGGCTCCTGATTCAACAATAATGTGATATTGGGGCAGTCAATTAAGAAATAAGCCCCACCTCAAGGACGACTAAATGAAACTTAAAACATTTAACAAAACTAAAATCAATGACAATGTCAACCTCCTTTGTGTTTTAATTCTTGATGGAATAGACTTTATGAACACATCAAAGAAAAGAGACTTTATGAGGGAATTGCATAAAAAAGCAAGGGGAAAGAAAACATGAATGCTTAAGCAGCCAGAATTGGATATATGTAGACATGATCCCAATAAGCATGTGCACAACCACAAATATTCTTACAATTCTTCTCCTCCTTCAAGCTCCAACAGAAGCAATTAACATCCTTAGAATAATACTACTTTTGAGCCTAAAATTCCTCTCCAACTGCTCCCCATATCTAGCAACATATTAGGAACTTAAGCAACTATAAAAGAAGGAGAATACATGGAAGTCCTGAGTAAAAATCAATGAAGATAGTTCATTATTTGCCATCTCTAATGCACAAATAAAACCAGCTAACAATAAATTTCTTCCTCTTTGACAGTCTCTCATGAAAGAATATGAGACATAACTGCCTCCATGGATAGAAAGTAAATAGGAAGCCTGCTCACTATGCACTATTCCACAAGAATGTTCTATTCAGCCATCACCTCAAACCTTGTAAAACCTTTTCATTATGATGATTCTTCCTAGTACATATGTCACACACCATATCCACCTTCAACACATACAGGCAATTAAAAGCACATTCACCATCTCCAATTTTGCATGTCAAGAAATATGCAAGTCTCAAGGCATCAGAGAAAAGGGATTTTAGGCTACAACAACTAATTAAAAGTTTGGTCCTCAACAGAACACAATAATAGAGACAAAGGATCCGAATAGCGAATACTACTAATTTGAGACCAAGGGTTAGCATTCATGTATCCTAGGCTATTAGTGAGAGTTTCTACCACATGCTCCAATGTAGAATACTGCCAACAAAAGATCCTACTTTTAAAGGTTCCACCAGCATGATGCCCCATCATAAAGTAGAACCTATTGTCCTTTACCTTAAAAATGATAAGTTTAGAAAACTTATTACCCACTTCTAATGTTTCCACAAAAGTGAAACCCAACAAAGTTTCCAAACCAGGAGACACAACCCTGCCTCTCTCCAGGCTCAACATTGCTTAGCCATCACCAACTTTTAAAAGCTTTCCCTGTGCAGTAAGCCTCCACATCAATTTTTGATAAGGCTCTACTAAACATGTACAGCCTTCTCACACACAACCAATCAGCTTGAATGGAGAGATGTGCCCTTTTCCCCAATTTATGCCTGATCATCCATGACATTCCGCTGTGCACAAAATCTCTCCACAATTTCTCAAATCCTTTTCATGGACCAAAAAGGGTGGGTAAAATAGACAAAGTTGGTAAACAGAGAGACTCTTAATCAAATAACAATGCCCTTCCACCCTTTACCCCCTCCCCAACAAACATTGAAAGTTTGAAACTTCCCAGCTCTTCCTTTTCTTTGCATGAAGGAATCTCATGCGAGCTCCTCAAGGGAGGACCACAGGTTCAGATAAAGATGCCAAATTTGACTCTCACTTGATATCAGAAATAGCAGATAACATCCCCCATTTAGAAACTTAAATCTCATCCAGTGAAAGAATGCAATCTTTCTCAAATTAGCCCTATATCATATTAGGTACCCCAAACCAAGGAAATATTATCACATGTAATCAACTTAGCATTGCAAAACTATAAAGGATTGTTTGCAGATAATATATGTGAAGCCAGCAAATCATCGGACTTAACCCCCTGCCAGTTTTCCATGTATATCTGAAACATTCTACTTGAGGCTTTCAGCATAACACAAAAAGAAAATGAAAATAGGAGGTGATGGATACCCTTGAACCAAGCCTCTCAAATAATAAAGAAGCCATACATAAATCAACTAGAACTTTTAACTCTTCTAAGGTATGACAGGAGACACAAAATAGTACACAGAGAAATGACTGACAATTTAATCTTTGTTCCCCACAGCCAGGAATCGCTCATTACAACTTCTTTTTTTAAATAACACAAGGATTTAAATCCAATGGGATTTGAATTTCTAAACAACTCATGATAAAGGAGATAAATGGGCATAGAAAACAAGTGGCATGCTCATTCAACTTGCTGTCTGGCCGATGTGTTCAAAGTTTCTGACCAGAAGTTACTAGTTATGAGAATTGACAGACAATTTTTTGCATTTCATAAAATAAATATTAGTTTTACATATTTCATGATTTGGTTGCAGCTTTTACCAATCTTCATTCTAATGAGTCCTAATCTTCAGTGACATGGTGATGGCCTCATTTCAGTGGTATAATCTATGCTTCAAATTTCATAGTTAACAAGCATAACTACCAGGAATGCATGTCAAGTAAACACTTTATACTACGACTTATGTTACAAGCTATATCACAGATTCAACTAAAACAACACATAGGAAACTCCAGACTGAAGAGAAGGAATTGATAATAATTTGACAAAAGGCAGACAACATACAAATTAGACTAACCTTTGCAACAGCCGCCAGATTGGACTTGGTTGATCCGGATTTATTGGATAGAGCCCTTGACAAGCGAGGAACCCCATCATCAATGACATCTGGATTCACCTCATGTTGAACCACGGTCACTTCCGGAAACGAAAACGGTTCTCGTAGCTGCTTATTATCCACGTTCTCCACAATTGGAGATGGATTTGCGTTGTTATCTATTTTCAATTCACGAGTCTGATAAACCAAACCAGACCCATGACTAAAATGACCATTCAACTGCGGAAAGCCTCCACTGGGAGCATTATCTACAGTCGAGCGCCTCGAGCAAAGCCCCCCCATTGAGATGATCACAAAAATATTCAATTATCGTTCCAAAGTTCCATACAAAGGGTAAAAGCTTGTTATTTACAAGAATCAGAAAAACCCTTTTATCAAATTACACGCAGGAGTTCAAAAATGAAGCGATTGCTAGCAAATCAAGAGCCTCCTTAATAAGTTCACCAAAGAATTGTTCTAGACCACTTCGAAGCCGAAAATGTAGTTCCTTGTTACATCAAAATCACCACAATACCAGTTTTGATCTCTGCGGCAGTTCCAATCCATTAACACCAGCACCCCACCAAAACTGTAAACCAAGAAAACAACTCGCCAATAAGTTCCTACTTATAAATCAGGAAAAGAGAAGAAACAACATGATCCACATCAAATCAAAAGGACTTATGCGATCAAAATTAAAAAGAAAAAACAACCCAACACTTTTAAAACAGGATAAGTGCAAATTCAAGAACACTAAAAAAAATGACAACAGAATCAAATTAGCTTATATGCTGATGAAAACAAAAACAACCCAAAACTACAGTCAAGAGAAAGCATCAATCTTTACTGGAGAAACACACAGACCTAAACAAATGCATTAAATTTGCATCTAATTCAAAACAAAACAGAGAGACAAACTTACCAGTTTGATAGGTAGAGATCTGGCGATAGACAATATAAAAAGATTGCGACTTGTGCTTTATTTTTTCAAGTAAATACAGAATAAAACAAGAAACAGGCCAGGAAAAAGAAATGATGATGAAATAAGGAGATCGGTAAGTTAAGTGCATATACAAAGAGGGTTTTGGAGAGAGAGTCTAAGCGGCTATGGGACTGTTAAGAACCAAATCATAGCAAAACTCGAACAATAACTAGCAGAGAGAGAGAGGGGGGGGGGGTCAAAACTCTACTTACAAACACTCATAGCTACTTAACCATGGCTTTATTACTCATTTTTCGAACATTCAACGCCCACTCTCGTTTAAGGCTCTAGAAACCCACTTCATTTTTATTTTTGTTTACCATGATTTTACCATAAAAGTTTTGTGAATTTTTGCTTTCTGGCATGTATGTTGGGATTTTTATTATTAAAATACATTGTGAATTGATCAGAATCTTAATGGATATTTAGATTTCATGTTTTGATATTTCTTATATTATTAAAGGCTGATGAAATCCCTATAAAAGCTAATTCTAGCTTAAGATATTATAAACTTGATGTTTATGTTCAAATTGTCTCTACAAAGTAGAGTTCTTATTTAATATATATATATATATGTTTCTTAAATTCATACTTGAATATATGAAAATAAAAATGTTTTCAAGCTTGATTTTACTATGATAAAATTATATTGATTCTCATTTACAAATCTAATTTTGTATGTGTTTTTAGAGCAAAGAATGAAGGTTTCTTTGTTCGTGGCATGTGGTTTTAATTTTTATATAATATAAAGCTAATTTTGTATGTGTTTTAATTACAAAAGGAGAGAGTGTATCCACGCGCCATGGTGGGACATTAGCTAATCATTCTCCCTTGGACAAGGTAGCCTGGGGAGCCCCCTCAACGTTCACACTTCCTAATTAATCTCTTTGTTTCGGTGTGCGGATGAGAATTTTAATCCCAAATTGATGCTTGTCGACCCGATTTAATTTAAATAAATGAGTATATTTTTGGATTTAATATATAAATATTATTAAACTTGATTTAAAATTCATTTAAATTTAATCCAAAATATATATTTATATTATATAAATATATTTATAAAATATTTAGATTTTTTTAATATATATATATTCATTGGATACCTGAAATTTAATAAATTATTTATAAATATCTAAATTTTTTATTATAAAAATAATATATAGGATATGAATATCAATAAAACTAATACGAGGATACCCACCATCGTTCCTACTTATTAGCCTTAATTTAACTGATTAGAAAATAATCACACAATTAAATGTGTTTATTTGTAAAGAAATCATTTTTTCAGAAAAAGTTTTTATGAATTAAAAAATAAAATATGTATATCTACTAGTTAAAAATAAAAAATATTTTATTAGAAACACATGTTTTCTAATTCTTTAATTTTCTAGAAAATGGTTTGCTTTCCAAATTCTCCAAGATTAAAAATAAAGACATTCTTTATGATTAAAAAATAGTAACAAGGGCTTAATTGTTTTCTTTAATGTTTTATATCCATTTTTATTATTTTTAAAATAAAAATAAATAAATTCCTTGTTTTATATTTTAGAAAATCTGTGATTATTAAAACTGTTTTCTTTTCATTGAGATATTTTTTTAAAATAAATTAAAAGTTAGAGATTAAAACTAAATATTTATTTTCTGAAAGAAACATAATCTAAAATGCTCAAAATTACACAGAATGCTAGAAATTTATCTTCCCATTCCACGGATGCACCACCATCTTCTAAAAATTACACTGTCAAAAAAATAACATTATGCAAATTATAATTATTATAAAAAATTATTAAATTTTAAAAGAAAAAATAAAAGGAATTAAGGTTTTATTATACCAACAAACTCATTACACAGCGGCTTGAAACAGTATAATAATAATTTTATCATTCTTAAAAAATTATTGGCTTGGCTATTGAAAATCATATGGTCTCTTAGTTCATAGCAAACTGTTCGAGGACAACTTAGTATTATTTTTTTAATTTTTTATAGAAAAAAATAATTAAATTAAGAAAATTTTATTTAATTAGCATATAAGAGATTTTTTTTATTTTTTATTATTAAAAAGTACAATAAAATAGGTAAATTACTCTTGAAAGCGAAATCTTTTAATTAATTAGCATTCAAGGGCTTTTTTGCTTTTTATATTTTCAATTTAACTTTTTAGTTATGATTAAATTTATTATAGAAAAATTTAGTATTTTAATAAATATAAAATATTATTTAAAAATCAAAATAAGGTGATGCATGTATTGCACACCAAGTGAATCTGTTACTATTAGGTTTTTGATAATGCATACAGCAAATTTTTCAACCAAAGATGATCTATTTTGACGTCGTTGAAATCATCTCAATGACCTTGTCTTTATAGGTCATGCTTGTTGATTGTTAACTTCTAGTTTGGTACCAATAATTTTTTTTTAAATTTCTTATCATCCTTAATTTTTATGCAAATCTTTAATTTATTTTTTTCTTTATATTTGATCTTTGTTGTTTTTATTATTATTTATTTTATTTAAAATAATTTATAAAATTAGAGTATTTATCAATTTCATCGTCCTTCAATTTTTTTTATATGTCAAATATAATTTCTATTTTTTATTGCTATTTGGTTTATTTCAAATAATTTTTTAGGTTTAATTTTATGATTTCATCATCTTTTGGTTTCTTATCCTATTAGATTGATTGTCATTCTTTTTATTGTTGTGTTTTCACTTTGAGAAAATTTTATAAATTAATATTTTTTTTAAATTCATCCTTCAACATTAAATTAGCTGGAAGTTGAGCTTCTTAGTTAAGCTCGAATCTAAGATTTTATAAATTGTAAATTTAAAAGATTAACCCTGATTTAAAATATTCATTCATATTTACTTGATTTTTCCTTCTTCTTTTTTTAAGCTTATTTATTTTTTTTAGTTTCATTATTGAGCATTTATTTAAGTTGTTATCGAGCTATGTTATTTTTTTTATTGCTTGTGATAAATTTTTTCACTGATTTTAAAAATGACATTGATTATTTTAAGTCTTTTTATTTATTATTTTTTATTCAATTTAGCTTTTTTAAAGAGTTTTTATTTTTGAATTAAATTAATTAATTAATTAAATATAAGTATGAGATATTCACTTCATAATATTTTAATTAATTTGCTTTTTAGATTATTACTTTAATAGCATATGCAGCCTCTATCAATTTTATCATGTAGCCTTTCAGAGTGTTGTTAGAACTTTCTTGGTGAACTCCATCTATTGATGGGGTGATAATAGCAACAAAGTGATGACGAGCCTCCAATAGACTTTTCTTTGTTTTCATCTCGAGTATGATATTAACAACTTATTTTTTAATAATTAATTACTATAATATTTTTTTTGTTTTATTTATTGTCAATATCTTATTTGTAATTACATTATTCAATTAATCAAGTTTATTAAATCTAGTCAAATTAATAATTAAATTTTAGATTTTTCTTTTTTATTTTAAAATATTAACATTGTCTGAATATAGTTTTTTTCTGTTAGAAAATTTTTAATCCAATTCATACCTATTGCAACCCACTATGTAGAATGACTCTAAAGTCAGTTGAAAAAGATTGTTTGTGTGACAACTATTTATTCAAAGTCCTCACACTACTAGGACTCGTGGGAAAAACAAGTTTTCAAACTATTGAATTTTCTAAATCTAGACATTCTCATTCAGTTTATTTAATTTATTATTCGTTGAACAATCAAATAACCAATGATAATAGAAGAAGACTAATTTGACATAAATTTGAACAAACAAAAAGAGTGCCCTTCAATCAATAAATAAAATAGTGATCTTGGGTAGTAATTTTTATTTTAATTTTAATTTTTTTAATGGCGTGGCTCGTTTAACTTTTCCAAGAATACCTAAGAAGTTAGAAGCATTCCTATGATCTAATCCTACAGAATGACCAATCAATGGGCACTTGTGATTTTTCAATCATCTTCACACGCAAGAAAAACTTAACATTTCATGTCACGGCCCCGCAGGGTTTTTTTATTTGAATTTGATTTTTGTATGTATATATATTATCCTCGTAGTATTTTATTTGTTTATTAAGCTTATAAAATATTTAATAAACTTAAAAATTAATTGTAGTTTACATAAGCTAGTCTGATACTTTGGATTATCAAAAAAAAATTAAAACACACACACATATATATATATACAGCTTAATTTATAATTTAAGAAAATCCATGAATTTTTTGATGGATTCGAACTTTTAAAACTAAGTATCTAAAAGCAATTTAATAAAAAAAAATTGATACATCAAGCCGATGTGAAGAATACGCTATAAAGATTGTTACGTCTAAGTTGATGCAAAATATCCCGATAAAGATTGTCAAGAGAAGGATGTTACGTCTAAGTTGATGCAAAATATCCCTATCACTCTAATTAAAATATATGTGTTCAGACCCTATGAACACTGGAGGCCAAGGAATATGAACACGAGAAATTCCCCATGGAATGTGCTTGATGGGAGACAAAACGGAAGTGACTTTGAGGATTCCCATGCTGATTTATGATTCTTTGACTAGGAGGGTCGACAACCTGTGAGTCTTTAGACGAGTAAGATTCATAAACAAAGAATTTCGTGTTTATATGATAAGCTTCTGTTTGGTATTATGTTCTCAATGAGTTGGGTAAATTTGATTTTTTTTATTTAAAATTAGTTTTGGGATTGTTTTAAATCACAATTATCAAAAATAAATTTTTTAAAGATAAGAGGCAAATGCATAGGATCTCACTATGTTAGTCATGACTTTCATATATATATATATATGTATGTATGTATGTATGTATGATGTATGCATGTATATATTGTAATTCTTAGCTTGTGATTAAGCTTAGTGGTAAATTTGATTTATTTTTTTTTCCTTTTCCTTTTCTTTTTTGTTGGTAAAGATAGGGCCCAAATGCATAGTATTTCACTATGTATGATACATTATTCTCACTCCTCTACTATTAATAATGATAGGTTTTCTAACTATCTAGAAGATGGCAAATAATAAAAACTTGAAATTAAGAGGTTTGTTTATTTTATGGTCTCAAGTTCGAGTATTTGATTCTTTATATAATGACTACTAAAGACTTATATGATCGTTAATTTTAGAGTTTATGGGACTAATTGTGATACATGTAAATTAGCTTGTATATTCATGTTAATCTAAAAAAATTAATGATAGGTTTTTTTACTAAGTGATAGTAA